ATTACTTTTTCTCTCAAAATATCTAATAAATCGTTTTCTCACAAAATATCTAATAATTCATTTTCTCACATAAATTTTCTAACTTAACATTAATTAAGAAATATCTAAAATACCCTCCAACCTAATTTTCCCGAAAACTCTCAAAAATGATAAAATAACACAATATGTAAACATAACATATTAACACACCAATTCCACAAATAAAATAATAATCACCCAAATAAAATAAAAGACTCAACAAAAATGGGAAATCAGAATCGGGGCATTATAGTAATGGCACTTCAAATTTGATAAAACATGCAGTGAAATGTGTTGGAAGAGGGAATGGATCTTCTTATCCGCCACTGGATCAAGAAACGTATAGAGAAAATATTTCTAAGATAATTGTCAAACACAATTATACTTTTACTTTTGTTGAACATGAAGGGATAGTTGACTTACTTTGTTTCTTACACCCCAATGTTAAGTCAATTACTAGAAATACTGCAAAGTCTGATGTTCTTAAGGTGTTTAGAAAAGAAAAAGAAAACTTAAAACTCTATTTGTAGTCGATTCCAGGAAAAATTTGTTTAACATCCGATCTATGGTCTGCAATAAATACAGATCAATATATGGTTTTGGCTGCACATTTTGTTAATAGGAATTGGGAATTAGAGAAAAAAGTTGTATCCTTCACTCATTGTCCACCACCTCATAGCGGTTTTAATTTGGCTGAGAAGTTAATAAATTTGCTAAAGGAGTGGGGTATTGAGAAAAAAATATTCACGATTACTTTAGACAACGCATCTAACAATGATGTTATGGTGAATATATTGAAGAAACATTTATTATCAGGATTAGGATCGATAGCTGAAGGTACTTATTTTCATGTTAGATGTGGATCACACATCTTAAACTTAATTGTTCATGATGGTTTAAAGGTGATAGATGGATCTTTGGATAAAATTAGGTTGTGTGTGAAATATGTAAGAGGCTCAGAAGCTCGAAAGATAAAGTTTGCATCTTGTTTAGAACAACTTTCAAATGTGACTTATAAGCAAGTTCGTCAAGACTTACCTACTAGGTGGAATTCCACTTATCTGATGCTTGAGACTGCTATAGGTCAACGAGAAGCCTTTACCCTCCTAAGCGATATTAATCCCTATTTTGATTGTTGCTTATCAAACGAGGAGTGGGATGAGGTAAAAACCATAGCTGATTTTTTGAAGTCATTTTATGATATCATTGTGTGTTTTTTTCCAGGTAGCACTTATCCAGCCTCCAACCTCTATTTTAGTGGTGTGTGGCGAATTCGTATGAAAATCAAGGAAGTTGCATGTGTTGATCATAGTGAGTTTGCGAAACAAAATCAATTATGTTGCATGGCTAGAAGAATGAAGAAATTTTTTAATAAATATTGGAATTCTTATAGTGTTGTGCTATCATTTGCTGTTATCTTAGATCCTAGATATAAGTTGCAGTTTGTTGAGTGGTGCTATGTGAGGTTGTTAGGTGGTGAGGGAGTACAAGTTGCAAAGTTGATTTTTGATAAGTTGAAAGCTTTTTTTCAAGAATATCTCAAGTCTTCAAATGAAGCAAGCACTTCATCTTCACAAAGGTCAATTACAGGTAGTACAAACATTCTCTCAAATGACTTGCAGGATTTTGGGAGTTACGAAAGTAAATTGTGTGGACCATCAAAAGATGAGTCTGATTTGAAAACTTATTTGAATGGAAAAAAATTGATCATGAATAATATGTTGATTTGGATGTTTTGCAATATTGAAAAGCAAATGAGGGTAAATATCCTAAACTTTCTATATTGGCACTTGACCTTTTGAGCATTCCAATTACTACAGTTGCATTAGAATAATCATTTAGTATAGGTAGACATATACTTGATAAGTATCGAAGCGCTCTTTTACCCGAAAATGTTGAAGCATTGTTGTGTACACATGATTGGCTTTGTGGAACTCCAGGTTAGTATCTACAATATTTTCATTTGTATTCTTTTCATTTATCTTCTTTTTTAATTAATGTATGTTTAATTGTTTTCTACTTTGATTCTCTTTTGTAGCTGCATTTGATTTTGATGGACCCGATTTTGTTGAGGACCTTACAACCTTCTTTTCCACAACATGAGGTTACTTGTGTGAGAGTTTTTTCTTTTCACCCAAGGTACTATTACATCATTCATACACAATCTTCATGTTAAGAACTATACACAAAATACACAATCTTCATGTTAAGAATTATGTTTCTTCTAACTGTGCGTTATTCAAACATAGAGAGAATGGGTTGAGTATAGTTTCTTACAACAGCCTAATATATACTATTATCAATGTCTAACATATAATTAGTATATTTGATAGAGACAAAGTAGTGATATTTGATACCTGATATTTCAATGCCTGTATCATATCTAGTATTCCTCAAACTCACTCAAACAAACAGAACAATCCGACCCATTAATCAAGCCTTCACCTTTCTTGAATTTGACTTTGGGGGTAGGTATTGAATTGGATGAAAACTTGGTTTTTGTTAGGTTGAAAATTTGACTTTGGGGGAGATATGAATTTTCTTTTCTTTTGGAGTTAGCTTTAATCTTAATCATGTAAGATTATTAATTTAATTGAAAATGAATAAGATAGTTAGTTGATAGCTAATGTTTATACCTAATTGTTGAAAAGTTGGTTGATGCTTATAACTTAAATTTAAAATATTAGAAAAAATTAGCAATTTGATTGACTAATAAAGATTATTAAAATGTATTGTTCTGTTTGAGTGAGTTTGAGGAATACCTGGTATATTTGAATTTCTGTTGTAATTTGAGTTAGTGTTATGAGATTGAAAAATGTTTTGAAGTGCAATTCGAGTATGAGCAAATTATGTGATGTAGTTCTATGATGATGATGTTGCAATATCGAAATTAGTCGGAATGCAATTCGTTTTAAACTTAAAATTTTGTTGTGATGCAATCAGTTACACTTGAATTAGTTTGCAGTTAGCACGACACTGTTTTGAAATTGTGTTAGTGAAATTTCTTTGAAGTTATGTTAGTGACTTTGTGTTATCTTGCATTATAAATAGCTTCTCATAATGTAGAATTTTCATGAATTTCTCTTTCTGTGTTAGATTAAAGTTAAGTACTTTGTTTAATCAAACTTGTTATTTGTGATCTCATAATAGATCTTGCAGATTGGTATTGATCTGCTACTAGTGTAGAGGGATGTTAAACCAACTATGCTTTGCACTGCCAATGATTTACAAGGGTGGAAATTTTTTTCATGATCTGCTACTAGTGTAGAGGGATGCTAAACCAACTATGCTTTGTACTGTCAATGATTTACAAGGGTGAAAATATTTTTCAAAGGGATTCAGGGTTCTTCTCCTTGAAGGAGACAACAATTTTGCTACTGAAATAAGAATAAAACTTAAAGACAAGATTGTTAAATTTGGTTTCATTTTTTTATAGATTTCATTAACACTAATTCATTAAGATTGTTAAATTTGTGTTAAACAAAAATTGTATCATTTTAGACCAGGGTATGTACAATTTACTTCTTAGAACAATACATTTTTCAATTTACTTAAAAGATATAGATAGATATATATATATATATATATATATATATATATATATATATATATATATATATATATATATATATATATATATATATATATTCTTAATTATTTTTAGGATGACTTCATCACTAATTTCTTAAATAGTTAAGAATGATTCAAAAAATAATTAAGAATGATTACTTAAAAGATTTGTATATATTATGAAAATAATGAAGTCTTACTGAAAATAATTAAGAATAATTATTTAAAAGATTTGCTTATATATATATATATATATATATATATATATATATATATATATATATATATATATATATATATATATATATATATATATATATATATATATATATATATATATATATATATATATATATATATATATATATATATATATATTCTTAATTGGAATGTGAAGAGAGAATAATTTTTTTACAATTAAGAATAACTAAAAAATAATTAAGAATATTTAATTTTTTTTGTTGTGAAATTTAAATTTTTTAAAGAAATTTAAAAAATAATTAAGAATATTAATTTTTTTTTTGTGAAGTTTAGATTTTTTAAAGAAATTTAAAAAATTAATTGAGAATATTAATTGTTTTTATGAAATTAAAAATATAATTTTTTTATGAAATTTAAAAAATAATTAAGAATATTAATCTTTTTTTTTGTGAAATTTAAGTTTTTTTTACGAAATTTAAAAAATAATTCAAAATATTTAAATTATGTTTCTATGAAATTTAAAAAATAATTAAGAATTTTTAAATTAATTTTTTAGATGAATGGATATCCATCCATTAGAAATATGTTAATGGATGGATTGGATGGATTTTATCTTTTAATGGATGGATTGAATTGGATTTTTATTAAGAGAGTTTAGTGAATTGTTAATGGATTAATGGATTGTTTTTTATCAATCCATTAACAATTCAATCCATATCTATCCATTTTGTCACCCCTACCTAAAAGTACTTATACATTTTGTGTCACCTCGACCATGTTAAGTAGCACCTTGAAAGTAGTTCATCTTTAATGTTCTTGACTCGGCATCACATAACAAACCATCAATATGTCATTTGTAACAATCCTTAAAAAAAATATCAACATGGTTGTGATTTGTCTAATCTAGTTTTAAAGGGTGTGCAATGGTTGTGTCTAGTCTAGTCTAATTTTCCTGCTTTTGTAATTCCACCTTCTATTACTATTTTCAATGGTGAAGTATCAATCAAATCATGTTTTTTATTATATCAAATCTTGTTCTCTTCAATAAAAAACAACAATCAGAAGAAAAAGCAAGAAAATAACCATAACAGCACTCAAACCAAACTTACCCTGTGTGAAATTACTATTATTTTCTATAGTAATCATAACCATAAAAAAAACATGCAAGACCAATTGAAATATACAAGAAATAATAGAAAACCTTAAGGTTATTAAGTTGTAGACAGGTTTCGTATCAAAGTTCTAAGAAAAGCAAAAGAAATAGCAGCTGAAAGCCAACCTAAAATCAAAGCCTTTGTATCCTCATAATGAATAGCATAATAAAACTGAGACAGTTGCATCAATAATACCAAGATAGCCTTCGAGAATTTCCAAAACAACACCACGAGATTCAGGGAACTAGCACCTATGCAATGTAAAGACATGTTTTCCAAACATTAATTTTTGCTATTTTTTGGGTTACTATTAACCAAATCTTGAAGTACCCAAATAAATTGAAAATATCACCTATTGTTAGAACTACCCAAAGTGGATATATTAGTCCTTAAGTGACACCAACGTTGCAACCAAAATATTTGGAAAAACTAAGGATATTTAGTGTGCTTTGGTCATAGCAAAATGTAGTTTTTATCTAGATGGAATATTAACCAAACATGTAGGTGGCTCCAGTAGCAACCATGATCAGAAAGTATATATACAATTGCAATAGAGAAAATAATGTATTCGTCAAATTTAATGAAATCTCATACCTAACCAAGGAACATCATCTATAAGTCTAGCATGACCAGTGCAGCAAGATGTTTGTGTTTGTGGTGCAACACTGTTATAGGCCCTTTCAACAGTGAGTAGATAAGCTATGGCAATCCAATCTCTGACACATTTAGAAACCTACACACAACAGAAGCATCAATGTTGAAATCTTAGTCAATTATTGTTAAACATGACCTATGTAACCATGTAGTAGAAAGCTTACCCCAAGAACAGATTAAATTTCATAAATTAAAGAACCTTCACTCTCTTTTCCCTACACATTACAGTTTAGCCTGATCAAATAATTTAAAGAATATTTCACTCACTTTGAATTGAATAATATAAACATCTTAGAATTAAATCTTCACTTTATTCATTGTGTTCCTTATTCTAAATGTTAATGGAGAAATCTGATCAAAAAACATATAAGAGACTTGATTGAACAAGTGGTAGAACACACTTTGTGCAGCTATGTCTCATCTATAAAAATTACAAACCCATAAGTTCATTACTTAAACAATCACTACAGAGTATTATACATGTATAAATCTAACAATACATGCAAAAAGGAGTAAAATCACAATAAGGCCTAATATGTTTGCAGTTCAATTAAGATAATTTGAACCTTCTTCACTTATTAAAAGTTAAATTAATCTATAGATATTCATGGAAGAGATAAATAAGTAAGCCTTTTGAGTTCATTTCAAGAATTGTTGTTTATAAAACTCAATCATTGCAAGATTGTTTTCATACTTTTTCTTTCATGAATTCTACTCATTCTAAATCTAAGACAATTAAAAAGAAAGTTTCAGAAAGAATTCAATTACTTGAACAAGGAAACAAATTATCAATATCCCAAGCAAGAGGAGAGGTTGAATCAACATGATAATAAAAAAAACATTACCATAATCATCTACTCAATCATAGCAGGATCAAAGCCAACATTCCTAAGATTCCAAACAAAATTAACATTAATCAACACACACTTACAATATATAAAACAAATTTTCAATACTAAATGCACAAATAAGATTTGAGATTAAAAAAAACTATGAAAAGATGACTATTTCTATTCACACAAGAGAACTTACATCAACATTGAAGAATTTGAATGTAGTACCAAAGAACTTTCCCATCCATTAGGTTTTAAAAAACATATGCGGTCGCATAAAAGCTTTCGTTGGTAAAGGTTTTGCAAATTACGGTTGTCGCGGTCGCATTGGTTGGCAAAGGTTTTTGCAAAGGTTTTGCAAATTACGGTTGTCGCGGTCGCATTGGTTGGCAAAGGTTTTGCAAATTACGGTCGCGGTGTGAATTAAGTATAATGTGTTCTTTAACAAATAAATAGTGATTAACAGTACCGTCGGTATTGCCGACACTGTTTTGTCGCGGCCGCTTTTGTAGTCGCGGACTTTTTTAGAACCTTTCTAACATTGAAAAATAATCAACACATTAGGACTTCCACAAAAATATTTAAGTATACTATTAAATAATACATGCAACTAACTGAAGCCAAATCACAATGAGTTTATAGAACTGTTTATTTAAACTCACGCACAAGAGTTTGGAAAAAAACTAATTAATCCAAAAAATAAAATCTTCATCACTTAACAAAACAAATAATGATATAAAAAAGATAATTTTACCATCAAAAATAGGTTGAAAAGAAAAGTGACGGAGTGGTGGAGCAGCAGAACAGTAGAGCGGTGGAACATAGAACAATAAAGTGAGGAGCAGTGGAATACAAAACAAACAATAGAGAACAACGAAGCAACGAGCGAGTGAAATTAAGGAACAGAGGAGAAAGTGAAACATCAGAGAAGAATTGATGAGATAGTGAAGAAATGAGCGAGTGAAATTAAGGGCTTGATTGTTGTTAGGTCTCAATTTGGTGAAGAGATTGATGAAATGGATGATTAAATTTGTGTGTGTTGTATGATTAAAAGTATGAATGAAAGGGTGATGATTAAAAGTATGATGAAATGAATGAAAGGGTGATGATTAAAAGTTCAATGTGAATTAGGTTTTTTAAAAAAAATTATTAGTTATGATTAAAAATTGGAGAAAAATAAATGATAAACCTAAAAAAGAAAAATAATAGAGGGACAAGTGAATGAAAATAGTGTGTTCGGTTAATTAGTTTTAACGAAAAAAAAATTATGTAAATTTATTTTTATTTTATCTGAATAATTTTATTCTCAAATAATATAAATAATATATTAGGATTATATATTATTCTATAGATCAATTTTCACAATTATAAAAGAAAGTATTTGATTTTAAAAAAACAATTAAAACAAAAATAACCAAATCACAAGTGTCAAAAGAAAAGCAGTTAAAACTATCATTTCTCTCTTAACATTACATCTGTTTATAAAATCGTCATACTATATTGTAAATAGTAGTGATTTTATTAAACGACATTTTTAAATCAACATATTTCGTGCGTTTTTTTAGTGGTGCAGCTGTAGGTGACTATACTTTTTATGGTGGAGTAGGATTGTCGATGAAGACAATGAAAATTTATATATTATTTTCAATCAAGATACAGATTGTTGGGGCTGGTTGAAAATATATATGTTGAAGAAGTCTCACAACCCTTAATTTTATGAATGAAAAGAGAATCCAATGATATATATATATATATATATATATATATATATATATATATATATATATATATATATATATATATATATATATATATATATATATATATATATATATATATATATATATATATATATATATATATATATATATATATATATATATATATATATATATATATATATACACACACACACAAAAGTTATTTAAAGTCTCGTATCGCTTAGTTTTGTAAAGGAATGGAGGAGTCCAAGACTTTATATAGGATTTAAATTCTTAATTTTAAAATATAAAAATTAAATAAATTTTAAATTTGTATTTAACTTTCTTTTATTCTCTTATACTCTTGTATTAAAGTGTTATGAGATATACTTAAATATTTATTTTAAAAAGTGTGAATATAGTGGGATTTGAGTTAATTAAGAATATATTATATATTATAACAATTTTTACATTGTATTTGTATTACCTCTATGGTCTTTTTGTTCTTTTCTTCGTGTTTGTAGGATTTATTCGTGGTGAATATATATCTTGATTTGGCACATTGTTGATGTTTGAAATTTTTACCACAATAACCAAGTTTTCCAACACTATGTACCAATATACCCAACATTTCAAGAAATTATCCAATCTACCCAAGTTTCAAAATTTTTTTGTTTTTATTTGTAAGGGGGCGTCATCCAGGATGGAGTCACCCTTATAATTATAAAGGGGGCGCCATCCATGATGGAGTCACCCTTAAAATTATAAGGGGGGCGCCATCCATGATGGAGTCACCCTATACGATTTTTTAAATTAATTTTTAATGTATAATATGTTTAAAAATATTTATTAAATGATATTTAATAATTAATTAATATTTAATAATTAATAATTTTATAAATAATAATTTCTAAATAATATTAATATTTATTAATAATTAATAAATAAATAATAATTAATATTTTCATTAATAATTTCTAAATAAAAAATAAAAATTAAATTGTATTTAATAAATAATATATTAAATAATAATTAATATTTTCATTTAATAACAAATGAGTACATATGAGAGATATGATACACTAATTTCTACTACTAGGTTGGTGTAAATGTCCGTTTGTACCTTATCCTTGATTACGTACGTTTCTTGGTGGAGTCGGGTCCACTGTGTCGTCTTCAAGAAATTGGATTATTTTGGTAGATATTGTTGGTATTGAGACTGTGAATAAGTTTGTGTGAATGGGGTGGATTGGTTAGAGGTATGTTCATGGAGTTGTGGTTGTGTGAGTGGGGGTTGGGTTGGCTGTTGGAAATGGGGTTGGGTAGGTTGTTGGGGTCTTGATGATGAGGATTGTTGGCGTGAGTCAACAAGATATCCATTTGTTTCATTTCGCATCTTCAAGACCATCAAGACCCCAACTCGTCTTCATGGGCCTCCTCTAGAAGATGAATGTGATGCGAGAAACACTGAAGGAAGTCGACTGAACTGGAGATTGCTGCCAATTTCTTGAAGACGACACAGTAGACCCGATTCCACCAAGAAACGTACGTAATCGAGGATGCGGTACAGGCGGACATTTACACCGAGCTAGTAGTAGAAATTAGTGTATCATATCCCTCATACGTACTCATTTGTTATTAAATGAAAATATTAATTATTATTTAATATATTATTTATTAAATACAATTTAATTTTTATTTGTTATTTAAAAATTATTAATGAAAATATTAATTATTAATTATTTATTAATTATTATTTATTTATTAATTATAATTAATTTAATAAATATTAATATTATTTAGAAATTATTATTTATAAAATTATTAATTCTTAAATATTATTTAATTGTTAAATATTATTTAATAAATAATTTTAAACATATTATATATTAAAAATTAATTTAAAAAGATCATATAGGGGTGACTCCATCATGGATGGCGCCCCCCTTATAATTTTAAGGGTGACTCCATCGTGGATGGCGCCTCCCTTATAATTATAAGGGTGACTTTATCCTGGATGACGCCCCCTCACAAATAAAAAAAAAGGTTTTGAAATTTGGGTAGATTAGATAATATCTTGAAATGATGAATATATTGACACATAGTGTTGGAAAACTTGATTATTGGAGTAAAAGTTTCTTGATGTTTAACCTCTTTTACCATATTCAAATTTTTTTTATGTGTTCTATGTTATACAATTATTTATCCATCAATGACATGTTAACATTATCATCTGAGGGTTATGGAAATTCAGAAAACTCATCGTGTCATATCTAATTATTTTTTCTAGTTGTACGAGATCTCTTGATTATGAATAATATTTTATTAGAGTTGTTTGAATCATTAAACCGTAATAGTATTCCAAGTATTATAATAGAAAATAACATATGAAATGCCACCAAATCATCCTTCAGTCAGTATTTTTATCATAGATATTTAAATAAATAAATAAAAACCATCCAGGTTCCTATGAATGAACCATTAAAATACTAGAGAAATCATGACCTCTCTATATCACATGTAATTCACATTGGTTTAAATTTATGTAAGCAAGAAAACAAAGTCAAGTTTATTGTCTTGATCATGTTACTCATATGAGCAAGCTGACGGTAACATTAATTGTTGCTTTTCTACCAAATCATATTAAATATGCTGCACTTTCTAAACTTTTCCGACCCTTTCTCTTGAAATAATTACTTTAATGTTTATGCTCTACCAGGTGTCCATCCAATAAATGTTTGTTAAATTTTAAAAATTAATTCCCAATAATGTTGTGCCATATACAAGAAGCAGAGATATATTATGTTGGCTAAAAAGTTTATATTCACGTTTTCAAGAATGAATATGTCCAGATGCATTGTTCTTATTCAGGTCTATCATTTTATTACTTAAATATCGTAATCTTAATCATATCAGCTATTTGTAACTTCCTTTAACTATATTGTTATTAATCAATGAGATGCAGTAGCTCAATCAGTTTATAATTTCAACATTACAAAACTGTGCATTGGCACTCTCGTAATTTATACTATTATTCAAAAAATAATATATTTGATTCATAGGTACATTTTATTCGCAAAAGAGTATCTACCCGGACATGATAAACTTTTAAAATATTGAATAAAATTTTATCACGCATAATACATAATTGACAATTAGTATAAAACAAATTATATATATATATATATATATATATATATATATATATATATATATATATATATATATATATATATATATATATATATATATATATATATATATATATATATATATATATATATATATATATATATATATATATATATATATATATATATATATATATATATATATATAATTTTACGGTGTGATTGTAAGTGTCTAGTTTGCAAACGCACTCTATTACCTATTCTAGTAAATTGGAAAGCACATTATCTATAACAACGGTTGTTTTAAACAACTGTTGTGAAATTATTTATAGGTCTTGGATTCTGTACCCTACAACGTCATTTTTGCCATTTATTATTCTGGATAGCGTTCTACCTATAACAATAGTTGTATTAAACAACTATTGTGAAGTAGGCAATTGTGTTATGTAAGAAATAGTGGAAGGAATATCAAAATTTTCATCACAATGAGGAATGTATTTTTCTTGGAGAATAATTGACCATCTCCTAGGTAAGTCCAAATGGTATGTCACATTAAAAACTTATTTTACTTGAGTAGCCATGATGAATGGTTCAGTCATATAAGTTGTCTTGTCAATGTCAACTCGTGTGAATCCTAACTCATCAGTTTGTACATCATTGTTATTGGGAACTCACATGCATTTAAATAAAGACACTTTAAAAATAACGTAATCAATCTCTAAAATCTCCTCAATGACACCATAGATAGCTCTAGATGCCAATATCATATTCTTATCTTTCGAACTAGAAAAATACACGGATCCAACCTCAACCATAAGTCCACTATTTTACATTATACTACACTCATCTTTTACTTTTGTAAGGTGTTCTGTACTGGCCCGACGCTTAGCCCACAACCAATCAGGCCCAAACCCCAATGAGGTTAG